ATTGTTCATTCTAATTACTGATAATGACGTCATTTCCTGAAGTTCAAACAACACATTATTTACTCATATGAACTATTTAATATTAATTTAAAATTTTTATATTTCGACATGAACGCGCGCGCGCGCGCACTTTTGCTCAGATTCCTTCAAAACCAAAAAATGCATGTAATATACATAATTCTGAGTTTGCATGCAAAAAATCAGCCTCCTACGACAATTCTAAGTTATGTTTAACCACTGTTTAAATTTTCCGGAGAGTAATACGTTTTGTGGCCCCCCCCCCCTTTATAGACAATGTTACAATTGGATGAATTTTGAAGAATTTGTTCAATTCATCAGTGTTCTACAGCTCTTAAACATTAAGTAAAACAAAAACATCAGCATAATTTTGTTCGTAAATAATATGTAAGCAAGTCTTAGGACCAAGTTTATTTGTTCTCTGCCCAAATTATTCGAAAACTTCTATCCTACCCCCTATCCCTGTATCCAACTCCCTACTCTCTATACCTGTATCATATACTCCCTACACTGTATCATATACTCCCTATCACTGTATCCAACTCCCTACTCCCTATCCCTATATCCAACTCCCTACTCTCTATCCCTGTATTCAACTCCCTACTCTCTATCCCTGTATCCAACTCCCTTCTCTCTATCCCTGTATCATATCTCCCTACACTGTATCCTAGTCCCTACTCTTGTGTCCTAATCCCCGTTTCTGTATCCTACTTTATTTCCTACTACCCCCTATTCCAATAAAAGGTGTCCCAATAAACATGGGAATTGAGTGAAGATTTTGATATCGACTTTGTACATGATTTTTTGATTAAGTATGTTGATGCCTACTAAGAAAACTGTAATCCGTATACGTTTCGTCTGCTAGAGATTATAATTTGATTTATTTATGTTTTCATTGCATACAGTTGTACTTGTAAAATGAGAAATTTCCGTGAACAGAGTGCAGTGGTTTATCTTGCAGAAATATTGCATAACATCATACAAAACGTTTCTCAGAATAACAAAACAATCTTAAACCGTTTACATAAAATATACTCTAGCAGACGTAACTTAAATTTGACCATCGAAATCAGGAAGTACAACTCTAACCCTTAACAAAGATGATTTAGAATTAGTCACTCAATTTCCATGTTTATTGGGACACCTTGTATCCTACTCCCTATCCTTGAATCCTCTTCCCTATCCTGTATCATTTTAAATCCGATTAATATATTAAGTTGAACAAAGTTAACCGAATGCCTTTATAATTGTATTAATTTAAAATTTCTAAACTGTATATTTTGGACAGTTGAATCAACGATTAAGAACAATTTCTGATTTCTAAAACTTTTAAATACTTTTTAACTATGTTAGAGTGGCCACTGATGTTTTTTGGAAATCTATATAATTGTACTGCTGACATTTTAAGACAATTTTCATATACTCTCTCATACATCCTATTCACAAATTAGACGAAATATAAAGTCATTTTACGAGTGCAGTCAATGTTTTCTTAACCTCCTCAGCTTTCTCCTAAGATCAGCAAACTTCTAATATTTGGATAATTTGAAATGCAATTTATCTTGCATAACTATATTTTTGAATGAAATTCATTGAGACTTTTTCAATACAAAAATCAAGCCTTTTTAGATGATTTTTTTCTAGAGTTTAGGTTCAAGTCTTTCTAGGGCACAAAACTGCCAAGGATGTGTAATCTAAAAAAAAATTATTAAAAAAAAGAATTTGATTTCAATTTCTTTTAATTTATAATAAAAATCATTTAAAATTTTTTCGAAGATTGCATGAATTTTGGCTACGAATTTAATAGTGTACAATGCAGCTAATTTAACTTTATAGAACTGCATCTCGGAAATTGGACATTTCTGAGCTGATAAAGTTTTTAACGATTTCAAAAAGCCCCCCCCCCATACACACACAATTTTATAGAATCTTGCATGAAATAGAACAAAACTTATGGGTTTAAACAGAATTAATCTAAGGGATTTATTTAGAGAAAAAGTAATAAAAGAAGTAAAATTGAAGAAAAATAACTAATTATGTAAAAGAAACCAGAAAAGCATTATTAAGACTGAATAATAATACAATCAAAACTCGTTTTGTGAAATAAAAGTAAAGTTTGTATCCCTTGAGATTGTCATCTAGAACTGATCTCATCTTGTTCCCAATATTAGATAACCTCTCAGAGTTCAAACTTAAACAATAACAAACATTATAAATAAAATAACTATTTGTACAACAGCCTTGTGTTATCATGCGAGACAATATGTCTTATTTATCAGAATTTTTACTTGGTTTGTTATTAGCTTAAAAAACTTTTTTTTAACAGAACACAAAAAAACGAAAAATCATAACAATAACTATATTTTCCCAAATGATGACACAAGACAGTTGGATATATATAATAACAATTCAAGTTCCATGAAAATGTGGGATTTTTATTTATGAAAATCTGCGAAATATAAAGAAACCTGCTTTGCCGGTGTAAAATGTTACTTATTTGCCTCCGAACAAATAAGAAACTTTTTACACCCAAGCGCATGAAATTTTCAGTAAAAATGCGGGGATAAAATTCTCTTAACATTAAATAAAAAGTTCCATACAAGATCTGACGAACTGAGTCTAAAACTAAAGAACGAAAAGTTTTGACTTAAATTTTAAGTTCATGGTTAAATGCCACTTCTGACTTAATTTAAACCTGAACTTTAACCGTGAGGTTAAATATTTAACCCTGTGGTTAAATATTTAACTCGCCGAAATCGACGAGTTAAAATTTAAACACAGGGTTAAAATCTTGAAATCATGCATTTTCCCTATTAGTCTATTATTCAATCATCATTCAGCTGAGAAAGCGGCATTCAACTTTACGATATATTTAAAAGTGAAAACCTTGTCAAAGAAATTTCACGTGTTAGATAAATTAATTTTTGCATGTAAACCCAAAAAACGGTTGTAACTCGAAATATGTTTTGTTTTCGGTTACGCAATAACAGCTGATTAGCGATGGTTATGTAATATTCTCTGTAAATCCTTTCCTCTGATTGGTTCAGATTTTTCCCGGAAATTCAAATTTAAAATTGAGAAAGTTTAATATTTAAGTAGCCATTCATTATTTTACAGAACTTTTAACCTCGAACTTAAAATTCGCGCATTCTTTAGTTTTAGACTCAGGCTTATATTTAAAAGGTAAAAGTGCTAAATAAAGAGAGCCACGTAGCGTCCTACAAGCCTAGTATTAAGTAATTGAACTAAGCGACTTTTCCACACTTTTCAGTGAATAATCAAAATTATGTAATGGGGCTTCTTTCAATAAAATTATTGTTATATATAAAAATAATTTTAATCATTACACTTTTTACCTACGAGTAATCTATATATAAATTTAGCTTGTATGTCTGTTTTTTTGTATCTAATAAACGACAAAACGGCTGAACCGATGGGGCCCAAATTTTGTGTAGGACCTCACGTGACCCCAGGGAAGGTTTATGCATGATCAAAATTCTAAAAACTTATGTTTAAAAGTTTTTTATTTTTGTAAAATTTTGAAAATGCGCGAATAGAACCAATGTAATGTTTTTAGCTTTGTTTAAAAATGTTAAGTTGTTTTGGTTTACTTGAAGTTGTACAGAGTAGGTTAAGTTCAATGACAAAGCTGGGTTTCCAAGCTTTTAGTCAAAAATAAAATGTATCTCTTTGGTTTCAAAAAGCTTTTTGTTTAAATTAATAAGAAAATATTGGATTTATTGAACTAAATGAAAAAGGCTGACCAGGGATCATCAAAGGGTTCCCAACCATCCAACTCCTTCCGACACACTACACACCTTAAAAGAACAGAATTTCAAGCGATTCTCCAATTTTGATTGAAATGGCCGATTCAATACAGGGACCCTATAAACCTATGTCTGGTCAATATTGACGGAGTGCTGACATATTGTCTCAGCAGAAACGCTTCTAAATCGTCGGTGATCAGACAAAAGGTTAATGTTGGGAATTGTACATTCCTCCCTAAATCAGAATAGATAAACAAATAGTAAAATAAGTAAAAAGACGTTTTATAAAATCAGTTGAGTTAACTAAAGCAGGTGCTTTAATTAAGAAAAATTGTATGGGGAAAAGGACGGGGCAGTCCACGTTTCCTGCCAGTGCTTAGGATCAATTAAATTTTGATGCGGATCCGGATCCAGGTCATTAACATTTCTTTCAGATTTACTTAATTTAAAAAAAAACAGAACTGTCAAATTATTTTTCTTCTTTTTTCGCTTATTTTAATTATAAAACTTGATGAACCACTCAGAGATAAGGAAATTTTTATGATCTCTCTTTTTTCAAAAGTATAGATTCTGGTTTTGAGAGTAAAACGATTATTTTTTGTAGTTTTTGGTTGGATCCAGGAAGCCAAAATCTTCCGGATCCTAAGCACTGTTATGTACCTGGCTAAGTCAGGTTCCTTAATTCCACCGCAAGCATAGAATCCAGCAGCTGCCATCTTGGGAGGGGTACATTCATCCTCATCTAATATTCTGGGCTTAGGATCAATTTAATTTTGATGCGGTTCCGGATCCTTGATCCGCACTAGAAAATAAGGATCCGGATCCGGATCCAGGTCATGAACATTTTGATTTACTAAGGCAAATTTTTAAATACAGGATATTTCCCTGGGATCATGTGAGGATCGGTTTAACCATTTTTATCAAGCAAAAACAAACATACAAAGTGTATATTTAGATATTTCATAAAAAATCATCAATTCCCCCCCTCCCCCCGGGCATAAAACCATTTTTTGCTGACTTAAGAGAAAATACATGAATTCTTGGGAGTATCGATAAAATGACATTAAAAAAACTATACAATTGTCTAAAATCATGATTGAGATTAGATAGTATATACCACTGATATTTTTATACCTGAAAAAGGCCAGCCCTTGAAGGAGTTAACCCTGTCAGTGAATGAAAGCATTATGACGTCGTCAGCTCCAAACGTTTTTAGCAGTGCGCTACCACGCATATCACATCTAAATATATAAATATCGTCTTCAATAGATAATTAAGATCCGTGATTTGAGTTTTTTAAATATTTGTTATTAAGTGTGAACATTATATTCCATTTATATTCTATTTAATCGTGTAATAAGAACACGTTTGAAGTATTTGAATATTGTTCCAGGTTTATATTAGTTCCTCCGCCGTTTACCCGGGCGGGGTATAAATCAAGATTGTAGCTTTCAGTCTGTTCTTGGCAGATTCTTCAAAATCGAATTTAGCCAATTTAACCCCCGGGTTACCCATGGGTTCCCTCACAAAATTTCAGGCAATTCAGCAGGAGTGTATATAATTCCATTNAATGAAAAATTTGCCATCAAAGTTTGTTAATTTTTGGATACTTCCTACCCAAAAAATTAATTTATTTAGCAAATAAACTTTAGCGCAGGGCTGTATATAATCCCAATTTTTTTATTCTCCCCACCTGAAATTTTTTCATTTCCTTCCCCAAATTCGATAACTGAGAATACATCTTTTTTAAGATTTATACTGCAGTGCATAATAAACCCCAAAAGGATTTTGAAATTTGCATAGATGGCACCGCAGGCAAATATTTTTAAAGTATAGTGGTACTGACAAGTTTTGATTGTTTATTGGTCAGTCCAGGAGTATTTTTATTCTTTTAAATCATTTCCCATCATTTTAATAGGGGGTGTTTTACTCTCAAGTTCTTTAACAAAATATTGCTTATTCTGAATTTGTTCGCGAGCGCAATTTTTTTTCCAATATGTATAACTTTTGATGTTTTAATATGTTTGATTGAGTAAGGGGTATTCTTTTATCATATTTTTGAATGAAACTTTTTATGTTTTTTATAATGCATAAAGAGTCTCGCTCCAACCCTTCACTTCCCTGAATTCCCCTTTCCTTCCTTATCTTCCAACCTTTATCAATTTCTTCCCTTCCCCGTCCCTTCCCTACATTCTCCCACTTCCCTAACTTCCTTTTCCCTTCCCTGCCTACCCTGTTCCTTTTTTAGTTCCCTAATCCCTATTTTTGTCTTTCCCTCTCAACTTTACCGTATTCCTCCCGACCTTCCCTTTCCCAACCTACTTATTCCCTACTTTTCCCCTTCCCTACCTATCTCCTTCTCTCCCTGGCTATCTCCTTCCCTAGCTATCTCCTTCCCTACCTGTCCACTTTCTTTCCTACCTTTCCCCCTTCCCCTTCCTTCCCCACCCATTACTTTCTTCCGTTTTTAGCCTTTCCCTATCCTTCCCCTTTTCTTTTCCTCTTTCCTATACTTTTCCCTTCCCTTCCTCTTGAGTCTTTGATTTCTTCCCCCCCCCCCCCAGGTGGGGAAGAACTTTATTCACTCCTGCAATTTAGTCCAACCGTTTGGCCAGCTATAATGAATAATGAATAATGTTACAGAGATTTTGAATATGTCTGAAATTTTAATAACCAAACATGATGAGAGCTCAGCTCTAGTACCTTTTTTGGAATACCCTGTAAATATATATATTTAAGCAAAGAGCTTTTATATTTAGATAAAAAACAAAACATACATTTACTAAGATATTTCAAAAGGAAAATACCTGTTTGCATTTACGTTGGCTTTCGGTGGCATTCTCTATCTGAAAATAAGAAAAAGACAATTAAGTATCTTTCTAAATACAAAACTGTTATCCACTCAAATATTACAAGATAGAAAAGAATAAAAAATTAGAATTCGGACAACTAAATAAAACATGATTAATAAAAATGGCAAAAAGTTGAATATTTGAGATGGTAGAAGAATTAAATGTCTGACGATGGATAGTTGGTCTGGAAGAGAAGCTTCAGCTTGTCACAATATATTTCTTAAACCTAAAATAAAAATTTATTAATCTTATATCACAGAAGAGCGACAAAATAATGTGTGTGTGTGTGTGTAGTAAATGCCTTACTCCAATTAGTTTCTACAAGAATACTTCAGTCTGTATTAATCTAGATACGACGCTGTATGCAATGCAATATTAGGTATTTATCTTTCAAGATACATTTCGCTCTAGAACTCAATGTTTTACAATTATACTTCAGTCTGTATCCATCCTGATACGACGGTAAATACATTTTTTGGTATCTATCTTTAAGTATACAACTCACTGTAATACCTTAGTATGTATCAATCCAGATACAATTCTCTCTTTATTTCCTAGTCTATATCTATCTTTCAAGATACAACTCAGGTCCGTCTTGTTCGCTACACGAGGAAACAAATACTCTAATACTGTAGCGCAGAGTATTATTCCAACTTATGTATATTTTGAGTTATATGGTATAGTTTAAATTAATGAACATAATTAAGTTGTATTACATGTTAACTAGCGTAGTTAGGTCACAGATAATGTACACGTAATTTATACTGGTAGGCTCAGGTTTAAAATTATAGGGTTCACTACGATATTTATTACATGTGTATATTTGCTTGATACAGGTATAACCGCGCAAATCATAATAATTAGAGATTTATCACTAATAGAAGGTTTTACATTTGCACAACCTAGTGTTGTTAATTGTTTTCAATGGTTTTTTGAAACCTTTGAAAGGGAGGGACCGGCTATGTAACATATTTGAGCGAAAAGTGCAGTATTGTAGAGAAAAACTTTAGGTTTCATATGTTTCAAATGAGTCATAAAAAATTTCTCCACAATACTACATTCACAGTTCAACTAATATGCATTGCCGTTTACTCCCTTTAAGTATTGTTTATCATTTATTAGTGTACAGTGTACTGCAACTACATTACCTTGATATCAAACTCTCCAGGTTTGGCGGGTAAAGTGTTCTTATCAAGATCATCGAAATAGGGATGCAGGAGAGCTTTCCGAGCAGAGATCCTCTTGGAGGGATCATAGATCAACATCTAGATATAATATAAGGATTATACATCTAGAAATAATATTGGAATTATACATCTAGATATAATATAGGGATTATACATCTAGAAATAATATAGTGATTATACATCTAGAAATAATATTGGAATTATACATCTAGATATAATATAGGGATTATACAATATACACATAGATATGATAAAGGAATTATACATCTAGAATATAATAAAGGAATTAAACATCTAGATTTAAAATGTGAATTATAAAACATGATTAGGGGGGGAGGTAAGGATTTAGGAAAGATAGGGGAGCGGTGGTGGGCAACCAATGTGTGGGAAGTTGTGGAAGAGATGGTAAGGAATGATATTGAAGGGAAGGAAAGGGAAGAAGAAAGTTAACTAAAGCGACTCCGAGGTAAGAAAGGTGGGGCGAGGAAAATTAAAAAAATTCCAGGAAAACTGGTAACCACTTTAGTTTGTTACAACCTGCTCTAGTAGATCCATCCCTGCAGGATCCAGTTTCTTCATGCTTTGCTTCAGGTTGAACTGACACCAGTTGGGGAAGGTTGCCTAAATCAAGTCAAATAAGAAATGTGGGGATTTATTCACGGCTTCAAAGTTTGAGAATGAAGTTTCAAGTCCAAAATTAACAATATTGATTGTTACCATCTCACCCGAGCTGAAAACTTTAGAATTGGATTACCTTAATCCCGATTGCTTTATCTAAATATCCACTCAGGAAACTTTTAATTGTATTGGATATCCCTGCTGTATGAAAGTTCTATTATTATTCTGATTGGCTGTTCGGATTCTGCAATCGACACTCTCATTGGTTGAATTTTAAACACTTTCCAGGATACAAACTAAAGATTAAATTAATCTTGAGATTAATATAAAGATGAGATCAAGCCTTAATCTCGATATCCATAATTCTAAAGTTTTTAGCTCAGGAGTTATTAAGAGCTGAATTAAACTATAAATCGTATGAATGTGAAGAGGTCAGAATTGATGAATATCGACAAATAGTTGAAGTTTTTCCCGAAAAGATATTGAATAAAAGAAAACACTTGTATCATGAAAAATCGTTCAAACATGACAGTGAAAGGAAAGCATACAAGCCACATAATTTCAAGTAAACCTCCAGTTAAGCTCCCGATTCACAACAGTACCCTTAGAACAAAATAGTAAAGAAATCATTGATTTTCTTATCTAAGACAGATTAATTCTGTCAATTACCATTATTTTCTTTGCTGCATAATTTCGCATGCGAGTTTTATACAGAAACCAGAAAAAAGCATACACCTTCTCATTTCTTGTTCAGACACGGTTTAATGAGAAACATGCTTCTCTTCAAATGGAGGTTCACTTGACATTACGTCAACAGTCCCCCCTTAACGAGAGAATAATCTTAAAAAGAAGAAATGTTAAAACGACCTTGTAATCTGGAAGTTTAGTACAGCCTGGCCATATTTCTTCAGTGGGAGTTCTCAGAACACGGAATATTCTAGATATTAATGAGTATATAATAAAGATTATATGGGAGGGGGGGGGGGGGGGGCTTGCCAGTGCAAGTCCAACATCATTTATCCAAAGAACCTTCGAAAATTCTTCAACTTTAATGACCCCTGACAAAAGTAAAAAATAAATAAGGGGTAAAATATAAACTTGGATTTTGAGACGAGAGATTTCTTGATTTATACACTGCGTTTTAAGTTATTATGCAAGATGTTCATTAAAGGTTAAAAAGGAAAGGGAGACAAAATTTGAAAAATATTTTTATACAAAACTTTGACATTTTATGATTTAATACATCTAATAAAAAAAGAAACATTAAAATCTATTTTTGCAAACTAGATCCAAAAACTGAAAGATATGTAAAACAAGCGTTTTAAGTTATTATGCAGATGACTTTAAAATACTTAAATTTCAACCCAAAAAAAGTAAAAAAAAAAAGGTTTCTTCATCCTCAATATAAAATCACATTCCTACGTAGCTTCCTGACATCCTAATAACCTCCAGAAGCCTCTTGTTCATAGAATTGGTAAGATTTTTTATTTGCACTGGCTTATTACTAGCTTCAGCTGTCTCTACAACAGCCCATAGCTATTTCTGTCAACTATAATGCTTACCAGAGTGGTGATCTTTCTTTTTTCAGGATGGCCTTAAGTTCCTTATGAAATTTAAATAGGACATGGCCTTTTTGACCTTAAATTTTTTGTCACTAAATCCTTTATTAGCAAGCTAACCCATGTTCTCCCTAGATGCAGGCCGGGGGGCATTGTTGATTGTTGAAGTACAAGCTTTTTTAAACCTCAGAATTTCTATACCAAAGCGTAAAATGGTCCTCCAGGAACTCACAATAACCCTTGGACCAGAACTTGACACCACCCTCAACCTTGATTGGTCCAATGATCTCTTCCACGATGATCCCGCCCATAAAATGAACCATCTTGCCCTCTGGGGGTTATTGCCATTTAGAACCCAATCTATAGCCCAACTGTCTGGCCATCAACCATCGCACGGCACTAAAGACGACTTTTGAGAAGTCTAGGTTATCATATGATGTGGCCTATTAGACTCTTTTTAACTTGTGTCATTAAGCCAGAAGTTGCAAATTTCTAATTTTTTTTTCAATATTGTCACTGATTTTTGCAATCTACAACGCGTCGCCCTCTACGGAATGTTCTGCTGACATTGATTTTCAATTTTGTGAAATGTGTTTTTTTATAGCTTTCTTTGTAGTCATTTCAATGATAAATTTTGTACGATTTTTTTCAGCCTTTACAAAAGAATTAACTCAGTGATGTCAATTTTAAATCTTCAAAATTTCCAATGTATCTGTACAGGCAGCAAGTTCCTCGATAATATTTGTTTTTACCCTTTACTCCAGACCACCTTTATATCCTATTTTTCTGTGATTTAGATAACCGAGTTTCCAATTGTATAATAGTTTGGTGCACCGTAAAAGTAAAATTTTACACTTTTTGTGTATTAACTCCAGTACACACAAATTTGAATACATATTTAAAAATGTGAAGATAATTTTTTTTGAAAAATTTTGGAAAAAAATAAATTGTCGAATTTAAGAAAAAAAACATAATTAATTGCATTATAACTTGAAATGCAGCGTTTAACAATTACTAGATTATTACTGTATTTTCAATGGCTTGGCAAAATTGTAAAAGAAAACAGATTCATAAAAGAAAAGTTGTCTCGAACCTGAAGAGCTGATCAATCTCACTGTCTCCTTGGAACAAGGGTCGACGGTTCACCATCTCCGCGAATATTGTCCCCATGGACCACATGTCAATGGGACAGGAGTACTTGGGACATCCCAGTAGAACCTCAGGAGCTCGGTACCACATTGTCACCACCTAGACAAATGTATCGACCCTTCCTCTCAAAAAAATGTAAACCAATAAAAATTTAAACCCCCCTTTTGTCTTTCCCTCTCAACTTTACCGTATTCCTCCCGACCTTCCCTTTCCCAACCTACTTATTCCCTACTTTTCCCCTTCCCTACCTATCTCCTTCTCTCCCTGGCTATCTCCTTCCCTAGCTATCTCCTTCAGGTGTTTTTTTATTTTTTTCAAATTTTACTGAGATTAAATGACATTCCATTGAAAAAAGCTGGGTTTTAGACTAACGGGATTTAATGAAAATTGTTGCATTCCAAAAAACCAGCATGTTATAAATTCTATGAATTCTATGATGCTAAATTCAATAATAATTAATTTTCATAATTCCAGATAAAAACATAACACCTCGGAATTTAATCATTCAGAGCTGAAAACTTTAGAATAGGATATCCTTAATCCCGATCTGTCAATTAATCTGGAGATTAATAACAAGAGGAGAACAAGCCATATTTAATCAGGAGATTGATAAAAAGAGGAGATCAAGCAATGATCTTGATATCCCCCATTCAGCTCTGGACTGGTACAATCATCAAGAGTAAATCTTTTTTAATCTTTTTTAGGTATACTTCGTATTAAAGCTTTACGATTGCAATTCTGTAAATACAGTGAAGGTGAATATACAATATACACTATACAGAGGGAGAACTAAAAAATTTTGGAATGGGACGACAACAAAAAAAGCTATAATTTGACGTTGAAACAAAACAAATATTTTTTCTAGACACTTTTTAAATCCCTGATTAAGTGAAATTTTGTCTATTTACAGTAACACTGCACAATTGCTGTGTCTTCTGTTTATAAGACTATTCATAGGAATATCTTGATGTAAAAGGTCGTCTTCTTATTCCAGAGTTTTCTGGTTCTCACTTTATATTATTGGAATGAGCTTCTTTTTCATGATTAAACTTCGACACTAGTGAGTTGAGTCTAACCTCGTGAGTATAAACTCGAACTGGAACCCCGAAAGCTCTTGCCAGACCAAAATCTGCCAGCTTGATGCAACCATTCTTGTCAATCAGCAGATTCTGTGGTTTTAAATCCCTACAAGATTATTTGTTAGTCAACACACCAAAGTTGTAAACCACCCCCCCTCGAGCCTCTTCATTTTTTATTTAAAGAAAATCGCTGGGGGTCTGGCCCCAGGCAATTCCATCCCTCAGCACTTCCCCATAAAATACGCATATCAATCCCGCCTGGGATCGCCTGTTGAGTACAATTTCTTTTCATTTAACATATTGTTTTCTACGTATCTTATTGAGCAGAAAAAAAATATTCCCGAATTTTCTTTTTAATGTTGTTAGACTTTAGAAACAAAAAAAAACCGACTGGCGTTAATTCTGACCGGTCATAAACCATACCTATGGTCGGTAGAAGATAGACTGGGCAACTCGTTTAAATTTTTAGGTTTTTAGGGAACTCACAAAGGTGTTACGTACTTTCCCAAAGGCCCTTTTCTAAGGACGATTTCCCAAGTGACAATTATCCAAGTGGCAACTTCCGAAATGTGCACCAAGCGGCAACTTTCCAAACGTTAGGTTAGGCTCTCTGAGGCGCCGCAGGCTGCAATGAGGGCCGAGGCTAGGACAGACCAAGAAAGTTGCCGCTTGGGAAATTGCACATTTTGGAAGTTGCCACTTGAAAAAATCCTTTGGGAAAGTAACTAACATCCTCACAAATATCTACGATATTTACAAATGTAAAATTGTATTCTCTATAAGTTTGCTTTTCATAGAATTATGCAATATTTTGAGCCTGGCAGAAGATGAGTTTTAAAACAGTTTACAATTAACAATCAAATGTTCATTAACGGTTTGATTACAAGATAAGTTCTCTGAAAACCACGAAAAAACTTAAATATTTAAGATATCGGGTAAATCGACCGAGTTCAAGGTACAGGTACCAAAACATCTAGCTCGATCAATTCAACCGTTTTGACATTTATTGGATAAAACTAGCCAAATAGGAACAGACGCATAATTAGGGGTTGCTGTGCCCCCCCCCCCCCCCGAAAGAAAAATATTAAGCCCTCTATCGCAGTTATTTCCGATTACGCCCCTGAATATTAATATATAAAAACAACAAGTGATTACTGTGTTTATCATCATTTTTTCTTGCTAAATCTTGATTCTATCCCCTTTCCCCTGTAATTATAACAAAACAAAATAAAACATAAACATTATAAACTTTGTGAATCTATCTATCATATTCTAATAAAATGTAATAATTTTAAATATAATAGATAACCTGTGCAAAACTCTTCTCTGATGACAGTACAGAAGGCCCTAAAATAAAATAATATGTGGCAGTGAATAAATACTCTTAATAAAAAGAGTTCTTTAAATTTGTCCCCAAAAAAAATTTGCTGATAATTTAACTCTTCCTCAAGATACAAATTAAAGAGACTGTTGCGTTCAATGTTTTTTATTTGTCATTCCTTTAAAGAAAGAAATGGTGTTGATTGTGGAAGATATCATGGTTTTCTTAGCTTGAGAATTGTTTAATTTTGATGATTTCTTCCATATTTTTTCTAGAGCAGAATGCGCAAAACACTTTATTTGTAGACAAACCACAATTGAAAATAATCAAATTTCATTGAGAAGATGAAATTATTTTTTCATGCTATCTTGAAGGGAACCGTTGTGAATCGGTAATGCCTCTCTTTAAATGAAGACTCGCATGAAATTATGTCTACAGAGCTGAAAACTTTAGTATGAGATATCGCTTATCTCGATTACTTAATCTGAGTATCCGATGGAGTATGGACACACTTTTAATTTCTTCTTAAACCGTTCTTTCTTGGATAGCAGAGAAAAATCGAAAACCGGTTTTTTAAATTAGAGAGTTTCTCCCGATTCTGCATATTAATCTTAAATGGCGCACAAAATTTTTAATTTATGGGTTTCATATACGCGACTCTGATTGGTTGAATTTTATACACTTTTTAGGATACAAGTACAAGATTAAGTTAGTCTCGATATTATGAAAAAGAGAGGATTAAGCATTAATCTCGATAACCACCATTCTTAGGTTTTCAGCTCAGTTATTTCGATCAAATATATTTGGTAAAGCCTCGGGAACACAAAGAATTTGTACGCTATGCAAAACTATACTCTTGACAAGATAGTTTTAGTTTTAAATGAAATATATATTAAACTAGCTTGGAAACCCAGCTATGCCTTTACTTTTTCTGTAAAACATTCAAAATCTACGGTGAATAGGTCCAGGGGTTTCGAAGGTTATGATCAGACATATAAACCGAGATTACCCTTTTACATATAAAGATATCATATCCCCTGTCTACAATATGAAACCCACCTGTAGAAGCTGATAGGTGTAGCTTTTAACTAATTTGCTGTCCATTAGTCCATCCTTCGGTATATTGGAGTCCATATACTGAACAGATTCATGTTTACAATCTTTTCTATAAATAATACATTTCGAAAAATGTATTGAGTTTCTACTGCAGCGTATTTGCTGCAATAAATGTTCAATATTACGAAACAATGGGATCTTTTACAAAACAGTGAAAGAGCGGACATCTTTTATAATGTGATGAGTTATCTCTCCATCAACATACACATAATTGTAATTTATATTCAAGATTATAAAAACATTTTTCTTTTTCAACAGTTAACATGTGAAAATATTTTTGTTGTAAATATCCCTTTTTTAGATCCATAGTGAGAAACTCGAAGATTAGGTAGAGCTTGGCTTCCTGCATCAGAACATCCTAAAATATTTCTCCTTGATTTAAAATACATCTAATTGTAAAGTGTACAAAAATTCTTAAATCGTGAGTGAGGAACATAGCTGTTAAGTTCGTTATTGGAAATTTACTGACAAACTATAATTCCTTAACTAGTTTCAGAACTTAAAATATTTAAAAATTCCAAAGCTATTTGGTTATTAGCAATGATTTAATTCAGTGAAGGAACAAACACGATTTTCATTCAGCTTCCATTCACTATAGAATGTCCGATCAGATCTCAATTAGGTTCAAGATAAAAATGGGAAAATTAATGTATAAATTATGACAGAATGACAGATTCAGCGAAACAAGTATTCCCAAGTAAGTAAGGAAACGTAAAAAATATTGAGAAAATAATGAAAATAAAAAATAAATAAAAAATGAGAGGATGCATATAAGGATGAATAAAATAATAAATAAATAAATTCACTATAAAAATAGTCTACCTGTAGCCTCACTATATTCGGATGAACCAATTCCTTGAGAAGAGATATCTCACGAATAGCTGAAATAAAATTGGTTTCACATTTACAGGAGCAATTTTCGAGTAGCATGTTTTTTTTTCTCGCAAAATGTTATGTAATGAGTAATGATCAATGTCGCCTGTTTTTGCATAATTTTGGATATTTTTGTTTTGTGAAATTATATATTCGAAATATTGATCTTAACTTTAAACTGCACCATTAATATATGTATTGTATAATTTATATCTTTGTGTGTGAATAAATCTTTATAATAATAAATAGCAACATAAAACTCAAAAACTTTCGAAACAATAAACTTATGCTAACTTAATAAAATAATAAAATAATAACTTTACATAACAAATTTTAACCATTAAGAATAGATATTCTTATTTATCAAGAATTTAGAAACTTTTTATCATCAAGAACAGAAACTTGTTATCATCAAGAATAGAAACTTGTTATCATCAAGAATAGAAACTTGTTATCATCAAGAATAGAAACTTGTTATCATCAAGAATAGAATCTTTTCTCTGTAGAGAATAGAAACTTCAAGATGATATTTTAAAACTAAATATAAACCTCAGAATAACATTTTTCCTTAAATGCTACCTTCCGAGAAAAAGTGGTGGGCAGAAGGTTTCAGGGGTTAATACAATTCCAAATTTCAAGATCAAAAGTACATTTGGTGGCCTTTAAATACACTTTCTGTGTCATTGTCAACTTTTTCAAGTTTTGTTTGTGTACGTGTACTACACTTCAGAAATGTTTACTGCATTTGGGGTGTTAAAATATGTAAATGTGAGTTATCAATTTAAGGGATAAATTATGATATACAAAAAAAAATAATACTCAAATGCAGTATACATTCTTCGGTATGGAATATTTTCAACAAATTGACATCATACTTCCAACTGTTAACTGCAACAACATGGTTAATTTCTGCTCCTAATATCAATTAATCAACATTTAGGATTGTATTACATGGAATTATATATACCCCTGTGGTTTGTCTGGGGAAATCTATCAAAGTACGGTACTGCCGAACGCTGGCTTACCTGTTGATGGAACACCTTCATCTTCACTCTCAAGACGAATCTTTTTCATTGCAACTAATCATAGTCCAAGGTTACTAAATAACTTGAAAAAGTTTATCAGGGACACAAATTGAACGGAACAAAAAGATGAGAAATTGCACTTAACAGTTTCTAAATTGAATTGCACTTGCTTAGGATCCATTTCATTTTGATGCGGATCAGGATCCAGGTCATAAACATTTCTTTAAGATTTGTTGATTTTTTGAACCAAAAAAAATTCAAAATATTTTTCTTTAATAACCCATTCAAAGACAAGGAACAATTTATAATCTCTCTTTTCTGAACAGTTGACGCTTGGGGTTCGTGAGCAAAAGGTTGATATTAACAGTTTTTGGTTGATATTTTGCCCTTTGGATCCAGGGATCCGTGGATCCGCACGTTTTTGCAAATCCGGATCTGTTGAATTGAAATTAATAAAATAAAACATACGGTAAATCAATGATATGCGTGACTAGGGGGGGGGGGGGGCCACCCCTTTGGATTTAGGTTAACCTCTATAAAAACCGACAACCTCGGAAATATTATAAAATCCATGAACATTCCTATTTCTCCAGTTTTCTTGTTCTTCCCCTTGAAGACAACCCCGTAGGTTCCCTCGCCAATCTTTTCAATCTTAACAAAATCCTCGAGTTTGAGCACGGAAGCCGACATTTTAAACTTGTTTCAGTCTTCTGAAATATTTGTTCCGTTTAATACGAAATTTTATAAAAAGTCGCACAAAAATAGGATAATGGTTTTTCTACTGTTGAATTTTATGTTTAGAATAAGAATGATTCACAAATCTGATAAAAATAAATGAAGGTTGGATGAATTCCATAAAATACATGAAGTATGTGAAATATTGTTATTTTTGAATCTCGTCAATTGTTTAAGACGTCATTTTGTTCGAATTCTACACCTACCCTCATATGCATCCATAAACTTGATGAAAAAGAGAGTTAAAGTTAAGATTAGAAACAGAATTTTTCAATGTAGTTCAATAAATACTAAATCCAAAGTGTTGAAAAAGAGATTCTATGATATTCAGTCAGTTTTATAAGAAACTGCTGCCGAGACTGTATGAACATTGGTGCTGAAAGTACGCAACTGAACTTCCTGAAATAATAAATATTAAGTAATAATAAACTAAATAAGAGTCTGTACACATAATTTCAAGTGAAAAAGAGTGATATGTCCGATTCACACCGCACCAGTAACCTTTCAACCTTTATCTAGGTAACAATGAGATTTCGCAGTTTTTCTGTCTTTTCCCCAAATTTTGTCTCTGAAGCCAAAATCCGAGGTTATGCTTTATGCTTACAACAAAAATACAATTTTTAATTTTCGCAAATAAAAATAAGGATATCTCAGATTAGAAAACAATTGAAAGGAGATCGTTGTGAAATGTGAATCAAACATACCAACCTATGATTAGAGGCAAACTTGCAATTACGTCTGCAGTCAATTAAACGTTAAAATCATTTTCCTACTTAGATGCAAGGGAACATACTGTGAAGAGAAAATTATTTTGAGGAAAGATAAAAAAAATTTGACATTAACTGACAAAGTGTAATAATTTTTATGCAAAATATGTTCCACCGTATAGATGTCACCCATAACCTCCAAAAAGTTTTAATTGACCTAAGAGCAAGTTTAAAAACATTTTCGCACTATTTGAGAAATCACTTTTTAGGGCCATCCATGAATAATATGGAGTATTTGTTACCTCAGAGTTTTGAATAATGCAGGGGTCACTGTCGGCCCATTCAGTTGGTACCTCGGTATCACTGGATAATATAGACATTTGTTAATTAATTTTACCCTAATTAATTTGTTATACCCCCCCCCCCATCCCATCTATTCATTATTATAATTATTATCATTTATAAGGACAACCCGTCCTTTAGTGAAGTAAGGGTTACCATTCCATCAACAAACTAAATCCTGGGGGGCCCAAAGTGCAACAAAGATGCCTTATTAAACGTGCCTGCCAGGAATAGTGGTATTATCATTATTATTGTTATCATAATCATTATTAAAGACAACCTGACATTCAATGTAGTAAGGACGCTCCTAACCTTCTTTCAAAACTATAAATTAATATTCAACTTACTTGTGTGTGTATATCAGAATATCAAAGGAACAGAGGCAGTCTATCAAAGGGAGAAAAGTTACACTAGCGGTTATCTGTCTAGATAAAAAAGTCTGAATAAGTGTTAAAATTTTCGTGTTTCCTCTCCGTTCTTAAACAATATTAATTTCACCACATTACAGGAGTACAGAGGGAACAAAAGTTGAAATATTATAACTTTTGATGGATTGTTGTAATTTCGAGTGACGCAACTAATATTAACATGTCTAATTCACAACGGTACCGTTAATAGCTTTGTCTGATGGGTTAGGTAAACATGTCTATCTCTTGAAACCTATAGTATTTTCGGTGTTGCTTCTCTACATTTTGAACAAGGATTTGAAGGATACAATTATAAATCGGACATTTTTTTCCAGTGCTGATCCAGGATCCGGATTCGTGTCCGCATCAAAATTAAATGGATCCTAAGCAGTGATAAAAAATATGCCACAGAAAAACATTTTAATGCCTAAATAAAAGCCACAATTTATATCTCAACGCTTAAAATCTGTCTAGATGCCAACAAATTATTATTAGGAAAAATAATGCCACAAATTATGTCTTCGTCATACAAAATCCGCCATAAATAGTAATTCAAAGTATAAAATATGCCACAGATTATGTCTTGCCACATAAAATCTGCCACACATGCCAGCAAAGCTCAGAAAATATGCCAGCAACACTAACAAACGGCATAGAAACAAATTCAATTCAACTTCTAGGATTGATAACAAAATTGTAAAAATTGTAAAAAAAAATCTGCCACAAAATGGAAGCACTACAAGTACACCCGCCATAAAATTCCAAGATGAAACCCTGGATTTAAAAATACCTGATTACATCCCTGATCTCTCCTTTTATAGTTTTTTCGTCCTTTGACGTTTCGTCAATAAACTTCACAGTCCCGTCAGCACTCGTCGTCGTCTCATGCTCGATCTAGAAACAAAAGTTGAAGAAAGAACGTAAAATCAATTTGGGATTTTATCTGTTTAAAACCTTTCTTATATTGATTAACCTCTTCATGAACTTTCTCAAGTGAGTTTTACCTTCTTAAGGTCTTCAAAATAAAAAAATAAAAAATTTTGAAATTTCGATTGAAACTTTCTTTATGTATCAGTATCGAAAAAGAAAATTTAATTAAATTAAAAGTACTGAGCATTGAACCACATTAGGGAATTCCAGGACTAACGAGAAAATTGTAACGCTTGTTTCGCTATTGTACATCAGTTTATTTTGAAAAATCTCTGTCCCCCTGGGAAATTGGAAGGGTAATTATCAAATAAAAATAAAAATGGAATTAACTGGAAAGTTTTATCCCCCAGCTTTGAGACTTTTATCCAAAATTATATTTATTAAACACTGAATTATTCACCTCCAATTGATCTAAAATCCCGAAAATTACCCAAGATGCTGGTGGAATATGAAGTTTTAAAGGTACGGAGAGGGAGGGGATGACTTAAAGGAACTAAATGCCCTGTAGTGTTGTACACTGTACAAACTTCATAAGTAAGAAACTAACCTTAAACTCCCAACGCTCCAAGACCTCCTTGCTGCTCACATTCGTCAATACCAAGACTAACCTTTTTACCTGTATGGAGAATAAAATAAAATAATTCAGAGATAAAATATTTCAGAGACAAAGTATTCAGACCGGTCTGTGTTTTTTTCCATATACCCCCTTATTCAACCCAAGACTACACGAAAAAACCTACCTTTCTCTCCTCTAACCAGTCTTTGATCTGTTGCAGGATGTTCTCCAGATATTTGTTGACCTCAGGGTCGGTGGAAACTAGAAGGGTCAACCCGTACTCCTGCTTCCTAGGCAAGAGTTTATTGATGAGATTGTTTAGATATATGATTAGAAGTGGGAGGTATAAATAACAAAAGATTAAGGTTTTATAAGCACTTCTCTTGACATTGAAAAATCACGGAACATCTGAAGTTAATTTAAAATTTGAAAATAGTTAAGTCGTTTAATCTGGCACTATGCAATATTCAGAGCAAATAAAAAAATCTCTAATTATCCTGTTAACATTGGCAGATGCCAAAAATTTTTAACAATAGAAATTTATTTAATTTAATTTTTTAATTTATTTATTTATTTAATTTTCAAATAATTTTGAGGGTCCGTCCTACTGAACGATTTTTGGACCCCCCCCCCCCCCCCCTCCAGTCAATTTTGTACATGACGAAATTAAAATTAGTATTTATTTATTATTATTTAGGGTTAGGTTAGGTTAAGACACTTTCTGGGCCGAGCGCTGCGGCTAGGATGGGCTAGGGGGCCGAGCGCTGCGGCCACGGGTTAGGTTAGTCAAGACACTTTCTGGGCCGAGCGCTGCGGCTAGGATGGGCTAGGGGGCCGAGCGCTGCGGCCACGGGTTAGGTTAAGTTGAGAAACTTCCTGTCACACAAATGTACAAAATCGATAGGAGGGGGGGGGGGCCCGGGGGGGGGCCAAAAATCGTATACTAGGAAATTACCTATTCCTAATTTTAACCCCTCATGAACCTTTCCGACATACCTAGTAAAAGATTCTGCAGGATAAACTCCGCGTTGGTAAAGGATTGAATTAATACCAAAATTAAAAAATTCTGAAACAAGTTTAGCTGAACCCTTCAATGTTACTGCATTGGAAGTTTTAGTTTCTTGCTGAACACTAGTCATTTTCCTGAAAATGAATACGTTTTGAAAAACGACATAACATGGCATGTAAAATTTCGGTGCTTGTATTTATCAAGAACTTTCCTAATGTAATCATAACTGTCCTATACTAGGGACGGCGGGTCCAAAAATCGATGATTAAGTCGCCCCCTTCGTCATAATAAGTAACTACATAAAAATTCATTTCAAAATTTCTTTCAGGCCATTATGAATTTTTTAACACCAAGGTTGCTTATTGTGTATTGCTTTAAATAATGTTTTTTTTTGTAATTTTTTTATCACTGGATAATTCGGACTTCTACTTCTTAACAAAATTCACATTCACTGTAAGTTTGAACCTTAAAAATATCCTTAAAAAAATATAAATTATCATTTTCATTGCAACAACATTATTTTACATTTCCGTTTATAATTTGGCGGTTTAACCTTACCTATCAGCTGTTTCCCGCTTTTGTTCAAATTAGAATCAGAGTGGAATAAACTCCGCGGAATTTGTTCAAAACAGGGTTCGCTATTTATTTTTAACATTTATCAATTAAATAATTCTCATACTCAACATACATATTATCAATAAGGATAGCTTGTCATGGGATATTCTGAGACACACTTTAGTTGTATTTAGTTGCACGTAGTCGACGATGTTTCATCTTAAACATAATCCAAAAATGAAATTAGTAAATATAAACTTGATTTTTACCTGTCTTTAGGTTTTGGTTAGGGCAGGGATGGGAGGGGAGGAAGGTATGCACACTACCTGCCTAGATCTAGGTGGCTTTGGTAGCTTGGACAAGAGAAGTATAGGGTGGAAGGGGGAGGGGTTAGACCAGTGTTATTGTCAGTTAGAATAAGGGAATTTACAGTGCAGAATATAAAACTAACGTATAGGTTCTTGCAAACCTTGAAAAGAGCGAATGTCGTATCAAATATCAATTCTAACAATTAAAAGGACAAATGAGCGACTGAACTCTTAAAGACCCTATATGACCTATATCAATTGGATTCATTGGATCATATCTCCAAGCATTATATACTACCAAAATACGCGCATAATACTCGAAAAATCTAACGTATGTTCTGCACGCATTGCACATTTTTATATTTTATGCTGTTTAAACAAGTTTATTTAATGATTTTCATTCTTTTTAAATTTTCTGATCCCGAAAATCGCAATTTTAAGCTGAAAACGTGAATATGACATTAAAAAAATCCGATATCTTAAATTTATTATTTCGAGTATACTTTCAGATGATCCTTTAGATTCCATTAAATAGAAGAAAATAAGCCAAAATGCATCTTAAAACATGTTGGTCCCCTTGTTTCTGGCATCCAAGGTACAAAAAAAATAGTTCAATCATAATTTAGACAGTAATTTTATCTATAATTTTTTTTTACTATAATTCTTCCATGCTTACACAAATTATATTATTTTTTTTTATGTTACTCGTTTTATATATCCTATAAGCATATTAAGCTTCAATCAACAGTGTGAATATATTCATGTATTTTAAGTTTTGGCTTGCAGGTTAAATTTTATGTACAATTCGTACAATTTAACTACATCATGCTAATATTTCATTTCCTATTACTATTTCCTATTGTTAAATGTAATTGCTTAATTTCAATCTCTAGTTATTTAACATATTATTGCTAAAATTGGGTTCATCAAAACTATAAAACTTAATTTACATTTCCTCAAATAACTTTCTATATATAGAATTATTCCTACAATAATAATTATCAATAGCTGAAGGGCCCGACGTTGCCCGTGGAAAAATGAGTGTCCACAAAAAAAATTCAGCCCAATCGGCCCAGCTGCTTGGCCGGCTATAGGCAACATATATATGATTGTCTTGTTTTATAATATTGAAGACTAGCTGAAGGGCCCGGCGTTGCCCGTGGATTTTTTTTAATTTTGAAAAAAAAAAATTTGAAGAAAAAGAATTTCTAATTTTTTTAGCCTATAACACCCCCGGCCACCCATGAGTGTCCACAAAAAATCTCAGCCCAATCAGTCCAGCTGTTTGGCCGGCTATACGCAACATATATACGAATGTCTTGGTTTCTACATATCATATTAGCTAAAGGGCCAGGCGTTGCTCTTGGGAAAAAAATTTGAAAAAAAATGTTTGAAAGATATGTAGAATTTTTTAGCCTAAGCACCCCCGGCCACCCCTGAGTGTCCGCAAAAAAATTCAGCCCAAGCCCAAACGGTCTAGCCGTTTGGCCGGCTATAGGCAACATATATATATATACGAATGTCTTGTTTTATTATATAGAGAATAGAGATATTTTAACTCAATCTGCCGTAAAGGAATTAAGTTTTGCACCGACTCAAATTTTCTAATCAAGGGCGTATACAGAAATAAATCTAAGGGGGCCAAATTTTTTTGTTGCCCCCCCCTAGGAGCTCCTAGAGGGAGGGGGGGGGGTACAATTTGAATTGTAAATTCAAAACATTTGGCTTCTTGGATTCTGTAAAGGCACACACAGTCCAATAACCTTACAGTATACTACTTTATCTCTACTTCTAAAATCAGCAGAAATGAACAGCAAACTAATATTTTCTATGTTCTTCACTCTTCAGTTTCAGATTTGAAAAGTGTGATTGCTCTTAGTTCTAAAGGGGGGGGGGCAATACACTTCCCCCTTTCCACCCCCTATTTTTGCCCTTGTCTACGACATTGGGTTGCAAAGAATAAGATATAGAGATTAGAAAATCAGAGATTGTGGCAAAGACTCAATTCCTTTTAGACGTGATTTTTTAAGTATGTAAAAATAATATCAAAATTCAGGATTTAGAAATTTATCTTTATAGGAATTGTAACTTAAATATATTACAAATTTAATTATAAGAAAGTGTAACTATAACTGTAATAAATATCGCGTAACACGATATCTACAAGGACGGGATCTATCTTCCTTCAAACATGAATGAGTAACCAGGAGGTCTACAGATAAAAGGATCTGGTATCGGAGAAGGAAGAAGCTGCTCGTTGCAGACAGTTCTCGATCACCCCATTGTAGAAGCAGCAGAACCAGATGATTCTGAGTACGGAGACGCCGCTCATTGCAGAGTAGCTCTGTACTTATCTGTGGTAACAATAGCTGAAGGACACATAGAAGAACTAGGATATCCAGGACACATAGAAGAACTAGGATATCCAGGACACATAGAAGAACTAGGATATCCAGGACACATAGAAGAACTAGGATATCCAGGACACATAGAAGAACTAGGATATCCAGGACACATAGAAGAACTAGGATATCCAGGACACATGGGAGAACTAGGATATCCAGGACACATAGAAGAACTAGGATATCCTGGACACATAGAAGAACTAGGATATCCAGGACACATAGAAGAACTAGGATTTCCAGGACACATGGGAGAACTAGGATATCCAGGACACATAGAAGAACTAGGATATCCAGGACACATAGAAGAGCTAGGATATCCAGGACACATGGGAGAACTAGGATATCCAGGACACACAGGGGAGCTAGGACTTCCAGGATCCCAAGAACGGAGACGCCGCTCATTGTGGAATAGCTCTTCACCGATCTATTGTAGAAACAGTTGAGGAACAAGAGATCTTGATGCAGGAGACGCTGCTCCTTGTAGATAGCTCTTCATGACTAGTTGTCAGTCCAGCAAAGGAAGCAGCTAGGATGCATCATAGATTGTAGGAGCAGCTAAATTAGAGGAGACTCCAAAACAGCCACAGTAGCAGTTAGGTTTACAGTAGAAGCAAGACTCTAGAAACAGCTCTTTAAGCATCTCATATTATGCGTCAAAGATAATAACCAATCATAACTTGTAACGAGTAGACCTGGATAGATACGTCTTGAGTAAAACTGTTATGGAGTAGGTATTTACTACGGGAGCAGCTCAGATCGTAAGGACGGCTTACATAACACAATAAGAGCACCCCAGATTGTAGGAGCAGTCAGGATAACAGAGACTCTAAAAGCAGTTGAACGAGATAGAGTAATAGAGTAAGCTGCTCATACAGATACTGAACTGTAGCAGCTGTATATCTAAAGGAACATATGAAAAAACAACATGAATAAACGTTACAGATGTATTTAATATATAAACTATGAAACTGATCAATCCCAATTCATTTATACTCTGAGAGATATGTATAAAGAGGTTATTAAAGGTATCGACACTAACACGAGATTACGGGGATCTAGAGTGAAATATTTGCATAAACCCTAAACCATGGGAGTAATTAATTGATCTCAAAAATCTCTAGGATTTACATCTGCCTTGTATTTGAAGACAATAATCATTACACTAATACCTATGTTTTTTCCACCTGATGGTGAAAACCTTTGATATTTCAAACTTAGATTCTTTCGTCTAGCAGAATTCATAGTTTGAAATATCTAAGGTCTACGTCATTGGGTTGCAAAGATAAAGAGATTAGAAAATCATAGTTTGTGACAAACACTAATTGTTTTAGTGTACGGAGTGGAAGCTTTGCTGTTGCTCTGTACAGTTTACTCATGTCTATTTGTATAATTACGTACACCGTGTACGTAATGGTTGGAGGAGATGCTAGCCAGCTGTACCTCCCACTCTTCGAGGCGGTCAGTTCATAATAATGAATAATAATAATAATAATGATAATAATAATGATAATGATAAGATAACAATAATAATAATATTTATAATAATAATTATAATCATTGCCCCCTGCTCCCACTTTACTATCGCAAGCTAAAGGAACCCGACAGCTAAGATTAAAAAGTTAAATTAAAAGTCAAACTTTAAAATTTCGATGAAAATTTTTGGGGAAATTGGTCGAATTTTATATTTAACTTATACTTTTCAGTTATCTTTTCATTTTCCTGGCTCATTTCAGAGCGTAAAACGAATTCCTAACTTTGTAGAATTTGTTCCAAATCCAATTTTCTTAAAACCAAACATTGGATTTTATAATTCTGAGACTTGGACTCATATATAGATTAGAGTAAACTTTTTCAGGGTTCCGTCCAAAAATAGAAATAAGTTTAGCAAAAGTACGGTTTAATCATTTATGTGCACTTAATGAAACAATAGATAATTTTTGGTAAAGCGTATAAATTTCGCAAACTTCAGAAATAACATTTGTAATGAGTAAGTAAGAACTGAAAGCAAATAATCTAATGATTGAAATCAAATCAAGATTATGAAAAATCCTTGTTTATGAAGAACTAACTAAAGTGCGTTGCCCGCGGAATTTAAAAAAACGCTTTGAATTTTAAATAAGAAACCTAAATTTTTAGTCTATGTTACCCCCCGCACCCCGAACTAACCACAGTGAGAAGCATTTGGTTTCTTTTATTTGAAATAAAACGTGTTTTGGTATAATTCAACACTCTTTAAACTTACGGATTCGTTTATTTTATACTTTTTCATTCAAAATGTATATGCCGACAAAAAAGTATTTAAGAAAAAAGGTTAAAAAATTATGCAGAAGGGGTTAAATTGTAACCGAAAGTCGCAGCTTTCTGAAATATTGACAGAACCGTTAAATCCCCGTGCCCGGGCACCCATGGGTTCCTTTAAAAAAATTAGCTAATTTGGTCCAGCCGTTTGACCAGCTATAGCTATATATATAAAAGATTTATTATATAGATATATTTTTAAGAGTTTAAGCACCACTACACAACACGCTGGGAGATTTCTAATCATCTACTTTATCTATATGGTTATAGTCTCAGGTAGATATTCATTAGTTATAATCTCAAGTAGATATTCATTAGTTATAGTCTCAGGTAGGTATTTATTAGTTATAGTCTCAGGTAGATATTCATTATTTATAGTCACAGGTAGATATTCATTAGTTATAGTCTCAGGTAGATATTCATTAGTTATAGTCTCAGGTTGATATTCATTAGTTATAGTCTTAGGTAGATATTCATTATTTATAGTCTCAGGTAGATATTCATTAGTTATAGTCTCAGGTAGATATTCATTAGTTATAGTCTTAGGTAGATATTCATTATTTATAGTCTCAGGTAGATATTCATTA